CGCTTGAAGCCTGAAGCAACCTGGCGTCACAGTCTGCACACCGGATGCGCACATTGTACACGCTTCGTGTTAAAAACTGCAAAGCACAAAGGGAAGAGAAATGATGCGTAGTATATTATTTCTGTGCAACAGTTATTGAGCCTTTCTTTTAACAGTTTTAAATTTCAGTTACTGTGCACATTAAAAACAATGTTTTGTTTTGTTCTCACAGACACCCGGTAGCAAGTAACAAAACAACATTAAACTCCAGCAAGAAGATAAAGTCCTTTTTGCAAAATCATAGACATGTATTTACAAATCAAGTATAATGGGAACACAGAATGATCTTGGAGAGAGCTTTACTGAGCTGACTGCTGTAACCGAACGCGACCAGGGTTTAAAGGCTGAACGAATGACTGACAGCCACAGCGGAGAAAAGAGTTTGTGTGAACTTTAATGTAAGGACTTAAATATTCATATGTAGCTCACATTAAGCTATCGTATGGCTTCAGAAGTAACACAGAATAATTCGCACAATCGGGGAAAAAAAAAAAAATCTCGGATTTGGATCGGCCCTCTCTGACCGATACCCGATCCGAGAAAAATGGCACTATCGGAGCCGATACCCGATATGAATATCGGATCAGCGCATCCCTAGCTCTAACCCATAATGAAGAAATTGCAGTGCTGTGGCCAGCTACTATTAGACCATATCCTGATTTCCAATATCAGTAGTCATTGTGAAGTAGTTTTGTTTTTGCATTTTCTCACCAAAATGGTACTGATGTGGCAGCTGACCTATGTCTCGACTGACTTGGGAGTTGAGCAGTGATAGAACTGACTATAATACTGCAGAACCTACTCATGAACAATCATGCTCTTTTGTTAATCGCTTTACTCTTAAATTTGAGAAAATATTTATTTATAAGTAATTTAAATGTATATAAATGTAAATATAAAAGTATTTAATTAATTGCATTTTATATATTTAAAATTAATGCAGTGTATTTGACATTGTATGTAGTGTTGACTCATTTATATACATATTTGACCAGTTTTTGACCACCCTTTTGACCAGTGAATATATAAATTTAAATTAAATAAATAATGCATTTAGCAGACGCTTTTATCCAAAGCGACTTACAGTGCATTCAGGCTATACATTTTTTACCAGTATGTGTGTTCCCTGGGAATTGAACCCACGACCTTTTGCGCTGCTAACGCAATGCTCTACCACTGAGCAACAGGAGCAACATTAATGTTAAATATTTATATTAATACTATAAATATATAATATTATATCAACTGATGATCAGATAAATACATGATCATTGGACAAAAATCTCAAAATATGTCATTTAGTTTTCCAGTTTCTCCAATGAGTGGGACAGCTAATGTTGGATTTGTTCCTAGATTAATTTTATAGTCTATAGACAGCCATTTGCCTCTCTAAGAGACAGAATAGCTCTTGGGATTCTCAGGCATGCCTCTAAAGTCATATCATCATAGCTGTAGATATCATTTCCCCTTTCTGGCACATGGACACATCAGGGAAAGACAACAGCTGGTGTATTCATTCGTGTCTGTTTGCCAAACATCATTAATGCAATGGCGGTGGATCCCCAGAGCTGCAGTCATTATCTGGTTTTCTTAAACAAAAAAGTAATTATCCCAGGGGAACAAGGGCAGAAATAGGCCCTTCGGCCCAGCCATGTGTTTCAGTAAGGTTTAATTTAGCCTAATTAAAGGCTTTCAGGCTTTTGCAGGCTATGAGAACACACTCGGATAAGCTTGACATTGGTGTTCCTCAAGTGTCTTGAATTTTCACATTGCACAGAAACGTTGGGCAGTATTTTCAGGTAGTGAAATCTCTAGGTGCCTTTGATTCGATTACGATTCAGAGGGCTGCGATGCGATGATAAAATGATTATCTACACATCTAGATGCATCTTTTTTTCTATACAGGATTTTTTTCTCACTGTGTGACTACTGGGTACTTTCAAAGCAAAGTATTTGTAAAGATATAATGAATTTACTTTCAATATCTTTCATTAATAAAACAAATGGAAGAGATGTGGCAAGTCAACTGGAAGGTTACATTTTAGGGGTGGGAATCTTTAGGCACCTCACAATTTATATGTGCATTTTCATTCAATTAAATTACTTATATAAGTAGGCTACTTTTGTCAAGCAAGTTGCACGATTCTCTCACTTCAACCATGAAACTTTATGCAAGTTTTTATACTTATTTGATATTTTGTGTGTGTGTGTGTGTTTGTGTTATTGGCAGCAAACGGTCTCTAGTGTATACAAGTGCCATACCACATATGTGGGAAAAAATGAGCTCAGAATCGATTCTGAAAATTTAGAAGATTCAGAATTGTTGAAGAGAGAATCGCGATGCATTGCAGAATCATTGTTTTTTCCTCCCACCCCTACTATTTTCTGCATGTACAATAAGATTGGAATAGTTGGGATAGCCAAAATATCTTCCCTTTTAACATTAAAGATGTAAAGATTAGTAGATTGAAATTTGGAGGTTAGCTTTATGAGTTTTATTTATGATATTGTTTTGTATAGTCTTTGCAGTCATCTGATGGAATGATCAAGGACGTCACCCAGAAGATGTTTAAGATAATTTCCCCTCCACCTGAGGACGAAATGCCACGGCAGAACCAGTGCCAGAAGTGTGCAGTTGTTGGAAACTCAGGGAATCTGTTGAGGTCCAAATACGGAGCCTTGATAGATTCCCACTCAGTTGTTATTAGGTGTGTTTTATGCTCTTTGTATGTTTGGTCTAAACTTCTAATAAGATAATTCCCCCCAAAATTAAAATTCAGCAATTACACCGCACAAAAAAATATTTTGATACATATTTGAAAGATATCTTTTTGTCCATACAATGAAAGTCAAAGGGGTCCAAAACATCCTTGGACCCCAATGACTTTCACTGTATGGACAAAACAACACTGAGACATTTTTTTTAAATATATTTTTTTGTGTTTGTTTAAAAAAGTACCGTTTCACTTAAAAAAAAAAAAATTAAAAAAAAAACAGGAAGTAATTAAAATGTTAATACTGATTCATGTTGACTTTAAAAGTATCTGAGAGTGAAACATGAACAAATTAATGAAAATTTTTTTTTTTTTTTTTGGGGGGAGAAACAACCGATAAGTGCAAGTGAGTTTTTTTACTAATGCATTTCGACTGGAACGTCCCACAGAATGAATAAGGCCGTGACTGTGGGTTTTGAAGAGGATGTTGGTAACCGAACCACCCACCACTTCATGTACCCAGAGAGTGCGATCGATCTGAGACCTGGTGTCCATCTCGTCCTTCTTCCCTTCAAACTGAAAGACATGCAGTGGTTATCCAGCGCTCTTTCCACAGGAGAGATCAAAATGTATGTCAAAATCGCTCTGAAAATTGTGCAACATAGATTTTAAGCAAAATCACTCCAAAATTGTTTTTCTTCACTAAAACTGTTTATATATCCCAAACAGGACGTACATGAGAGTGAAAAATCTTGTGGAAGCTGACAAAGACAAGGTCAGTGTAAATCATGCTAAAGCTTGTAAATCCATAAATGCATCATCTGTTAAGCCTAACTCATCCTCCCATGTGTCCCGTCCAGGTGATAGTTGTAAATCCAGCCTTCTTTAAGTACACACATGACAAATGGACAGAGCGTCATGGAAGGTACCCTTCCACCGGGATAGTAGCCATTATGTTTGCTCTGCATCTCTGTGATGAGGTTTGTACTTGATTTACAGCCAAGATAATCATTTCTGCGTCACTAGACTATTTTCAGTTATGATGTTCAATCTCAACAGGTGTCAGTGTTTGGATATGGGGCAGACAAGCAAGGAAACTGGCACCACTATTGGGAGTACAACAGATATGCCGGCGCCTTTCGAAAGACGGGCGTCCATAACGCAGATTTCGAGACTGAGATCATTCAGAGGCTCAACAAAGAGGGCAAAATCAAACTACAGATGAGCCTGTAATTGTGGCCTTTATTGATTTGGTACAGCTCAAAGCCATGCAAATGCAGGGCCAGGATGCACAGCAGCTGTATGGAAGCCAAAGAGACACAGATCTGTGATCCGCCGTACCATTAATTGACCACTGTGAACTGCACTGAACCAAACCCACAAACATCAAGCTCTAGTCCTAAGACCAAATGAACTCCTCCTGTTCTCTCACAGCATTTTACTTGCTACGTGCCTGAAGAAAAAGACAGATGTTGCCTTCCTCCCAAGTCGGGCATTGAAATTTTGAAGAAGACGAAAAGTAAGCAAAACAGCTTGATCTGAGCCTCCTTGTGTACTTCTTTCTTATTGCAACTGTTCTGTCTAGCCTCTCACAGTTTCTGCACTGCAAGTTTGCAACATGACAAAACTAGTTTCATGTATAATCAAAAAAGCTGTCTACACTGCAAGAAAGATGTTGATCATCAGCGGCACTCGCTTGCAGGTAGTTTTCAGGGCGTTAAAGCCTTAAAGTCAACACAAAGCTGTTTTTTTTTAGTGCAACAGAATATTTTATAAGAAAAGGGGTGGGGCTTGGTTTTTATCATTGGTAGTTGATTGGATCATGAAAAGTTGGTGTTAAATACCAGATGAGACCATCTGGTGCTTGGTTGGAGAGTTTGACATCAGCCGAAAGGAAAGTCTTGCTGAAAGATTATGAAGACAATTTTCTTTGAGATAACATGCAATGATATATCATGCAATATGAGTCCAGTATTAAAGGGATAGTCTTCTTTCTTCTTTGCAACACAAAAGAAGATATTTTGGAGAACATTGGGCTTCAAACAACATTGGACCCCATTGACTTTATATTTTTAAAGTCATACAGGTTTGGAATGGCATGAGGGTGAGAAATTGATGACAGTAATTTCATTTTTGGGTGAACTAAAGTACACAAGGTTAGTTTAAATTTCATGTTGACTTTTAACTTCAACCTGCAGTGCATTAAAGCTTTTTAGATGAGTTTGTGGATTATAAGGTTTTAAAATAGCAAATAAGCAATAAATATGTTTTTAAAAGTCATAAATTAGTTTAAATAGCATATTAAGACTTTCACAATTGTTTTAGATTTCACCTCAGACAATTACAGAGATGCACTTACATTGTTCAACACAGGAAATGAGAACCACACATTTCCTGTGTTGATTTTTGAAGGACTTTTCTCACCTCAAAGTTCTGTCCTAATTTAACCATCCTGGCATTGAAATCAGCTAAATATACTCAAAACACTTGCTGGGAGATGTATTTGTCACATAGAGCTGAGAAAACACATTCTAGATTCTAGTTGAGAGTGTGTTGTTTGCTGTGGGAGCGTTGTTTTTGTGTTGCATGTTTAATATCATTATAAACCTTTAGACCAAAGCCGTCCATAGAGACCATCTCAGTGGTGTTGAAATGACCCGGTGCACTCGTTAAACAACCCGTCTTGTGATTAACAGTTCTGGATAGAGAACATGCTGTATTTCATATCATACATCTTTGAACCATTATCATTCTTTTCCTGAATTACAATCGAGCTCTGTTTTTTTATAGTTGAAATTACAAGTGGTAGATGTTATGTGTTTTTTCCCCCCTTTTGATTGAAACTTGAGCTGAAATTTCAATGTTTGTTGCCAACTGTTATCAAGCTGTCATTTGTTCTGTGACTTTGTTCTCGAATGTATTTTGGCTTTGCATTCTTTGCTTCATGTCAATCAGTGGCTTTCATGGTTTACAGAGTTTGTGTGGAGAAGAGATATTATGAAGACTCAAATCAAGCCATCATCATTGAAGAATTATAGTTTGGACAAAATTTAGAAAGAAACAGACATTGAAGTGTGTTTTAACAATATATTTAGAAACAGAAGCAAAGCATAAACAATAAAAAAATTAATTTAATTCAAAAGTCACAGTTTAGGGCATCCAGGACCGTATTAAAAATAAAAAATATTTGATATTGCCGCATAAATAAAAAATACAGAAAAACATACAAGCCTATTTTTTAATGAGTTACACAATACATAAATATCTCACAATGCACTAGTTTTCCGATCAGGTTCTTTAACAAGTAAAAACCACAATTTCAACTTTTAATGCATGACGGTTTATATTTATATAAGGTCCTCTAATGCAAGTAGAGAAACATCTCACCAATTAAAATTGAATATTTATTCCACCTCCCTGCTGGAAAGATTATTTAGGAGGAGTCCAAGATATTGAGCGGTAATGTCAAGAAAAGCTGTGGCCAAATGACTTTTTATGGTTTTGTTTACAAGTCAGATTCAACATGTGACCGCAGATTTAATATTCCCTGGGTGTGACATGATTTAAAAAAATTGTCTTCTGCCACAAGTAGTTCTCGACTCTCGAAGCACTTTAAGGAGTTAGCTCATATTCAAAGACTGTCCAGCTGAATGTGATGGTTCGATCCCATTGTAATGGCCAAATTGCGTGGTGTGTGCACATCTTTGTAAGCTTCTATGTTCATGATGTTTTGTGTGAACCTGTGATTAATCTGTGGTCTGTTCTCAATAAACCACTTAACCATTTATTCAGTGATTATTTCATCTGAAGTTATGGAAACAATAGAACAATAAATGGGTCACATAAATCTCACAATCTCCTGTTCTCAAACATGTCCATGTCTTTTGTTTAGCATAAAGAAAAGAAATGTTTCAGGACTATTACAGTTTTATTACAACTTTTATATATTTTTAAAGCACCTTTCTTCCCAAATTGTTGCTGTAATGTGAAACAATCTCATTCTAATCACTTTAATGCAAAAAATATTAAGTTTTAAAGTATTTATACTTGTATACCAGCATTATGATAGTATTTTCCCTGCTTTAAAAAAATACTGTTTACAGTGTTTAATACAGTAAATGGAAATAAGATTTCAAACTTAGAATATAATTTTTTTAAAAACTGAGATTTTGGAGGGAAATGTGCTTAAATGTTGAAAAAAAAAATTCTTGGTACAAAAAAAAAAAATACATTTTTGTTCTTTAAAAAGTAGGCGAAATATGACCTGGATGTGTATTCACCCAAACACACAATATTCATAATTCATTTGTTTGTTCTTGATTTGCTTTCTGAATGAATTACGTTTTCACACAGTTACCCTGTTGCAAAGGATTGTGCTTTAAAGCTGTTCTCCATTTTTTGAATAGCAGCACACTCTCAGCATTATACTTTTTCAATACGATTCTGTGATCTGGCATATATGATTCCTCACATTTGAGTTCAGTTCAGTGTAACATGACATGCAGTTCATGCTGTGTGTGCTTTTGGAGCATTTTTAGGAGCGCACAGGATGATAGATTTTACTCTATGAGCGTTCGGCTAGGCTGGTCTGTGGATGGATAGGAGGGCATGATTCTCATATCTGAGGGGCCTGTAGAACCACAAAATATGAGAAGTTTTGTGCACAGCACAACGTGTTCCACATATCCCATCTCTCTTGGCGCTGCAGACGGGCCTGTGAGTGCTGCTTTGTTATGCTGATTCTTCATTACCGATGGTTCTGTGGGTAGACTTCAAGCCCCTCATTTCCCAGGGTGCTTTGGCAGTAGAGTAGACCGTGCTATGATTTCAGCTCCGTTGGCCAGCTTCATTCAGCAACCATAGAGACAAACGATGCTGGAAATAAGCCCATTCTGTCTGGCTGTCCCTCGACGTAGCCGTGCTGAAAGGGAGATATTACTGGCTCTGGTTAAAGTCATCGGAAGGAAGGATGTTAAATTCAATTAAATGAAGGGGTGGAAATTATAAAGGAAGTAATGTTATGAACAAGGGCTGTGAGTCTTTAATGAAAAGGGAATGAGGCGAACACAAAAGATGTGGGACGTGTGAGGATGTTTAAAGTAAGATGCAAAACAGGATCCATTTCATTTTAAAAGCTCTTTCCTGCATGCCAAGTGTCTCTCTATGAATCTACATGAAATGTATTCTTTTGATGGGCCATCCAGAGGCTATTTTTCCTGTAGAAGAACCTGCAGGATATTAGGCAAGTCCGCTGGAGACGTATGGGCAGCTCTCTGACTCAGATATGGAAGCAGAGCAGAATAAAACATGGACCCTGAGAGCTTTGCTCTGATCAGTTATTTATGTAGCTGCTCCCATGGGATTGTAGGACTCGTCTGCACACACAGCATGAGTCTGTCAAAGGCTAACAAGAACCCTGCAGCTTCCTCATCAAAACCATCTTTAAGCGGAACAAGGAATTTGAGTCATTTATGCCAACAATACTTCAAAGAGCAGAAGACAACTGGAAATAAAGTGTGAAATAAAAAATGAAAAATGTACTATATTTACTGGTGTGTAAAACAAGGAAGCACAATAGAGCTGTTCAGTTTTTAGTCCTCAAACCCAAATGAGAATAAGCAGTTTTATGCCATGGATTTTTCAGGATTTTCCTGTTTTGTTTTTTTTTATATTGATTTTGGTTTTATGTGTAATTAAAATAGTAAAAAAATGGGGTTTACTGGAGAGATTTACATATATATGATATGTTCTACAACATAAATTACAGTCACTCAAAAGTGAATTTTAAAACTCCTGTTTAAAAAAAACAAAACACATTGTTACGTTCTTAAAACTTCACTGTTATCTTTTTTGATTTATTTAAATAAACCTTATATAAAATAAAATAAAATCTAAATATTACATTTAAAAAAATTTTAAAATAGAGAACAGAATGAAAATAAATAAATTCTAAAGTTGAAGTGCTAAAACAAATGAATAATTTATAAATTTAATTCATAAATTAAAGCAATATATACATATTTATTGACTACATCTAATAAAAATGACAAAAGCAGATAACAAAATTACTAACATTTAAGCTAAAATTAAAATGAAAATATAAGAATTAAAATATTAATAAATACTATAATAGTATGTAATACTAATATTACACTGATCCTTAGGATTTTTTAGCAATTTACATTTAAAAAGCACACAATGGATTTAAAACCGTTTCTAATAAGAAGTTTACCCACAGAGCTTTTTTTTCTTCATAGATCCAATACTAAAAACATATCAGACATTCCGAAGGGGACCCATGGCGAATAAGCTGTCCACATTGGCCTCAAAACTGACGTCATGACTTAATAATTCCATTTTTACATTGCTCTCTGGAATGTTTTATACTGATTGGTCAACCTCATCATTCTGAAAATGTTTTTGTATAATGGCTACTAAACTGTACAACTGACCTTTGTCCCAGGAAATGAATTTCCTACATAGTTGTGCTAGTTTCATGCATCTCTCTTTGTAATTTATCTCAAATTAATTGTCCTTTCATTCTTATACTCACCCACCAATCAGCATCCTCCTCTCCGAGTACCACCAGAACCTCACCCTCATTAAAGCTGAGCTCATCGTGATGATCTGCCACACAGTCATACATGGCTTTAACACGCTTCAGCTTCGACTTCATCTGAACACAAAAACAATAACAAGAAGTTGCAAAAACTGTACCATGTGGCTTCTAGCCAATATTGATTTTCTTTTAAAATAATTTGTTGATGGGAAATCGCACGTATGAGGAACATGTCAAGGAATGTCTGCATCACTCTTTGTCTTTCCAAAAGCCAAAGACAAATAAAGTAAAATAGCATTCCTCCAGACCCTGCAGAAAAAACCAGCTCAGACCAGCACTAATTCCCATGTGGATACAGGCTGGTTTAAGCCAGTTTGGTGCCGGTAGACTGATTGATGCAAAACAGCTGGTGAAGGTGAAGTTAGAAGCAAAACACAATGATTTCTAAAGGATCATGTGACAATAAAAACTGAGT